TATATTTTTTTTTTTTGTGTTTACTGGAATTGGTAAGATTTTCTTTTACAGTGGTGGTTTTCTGTGAGGCATAGCAAAAATTCACTCAGCTGTCAATATATATTTTGACGATACAAACCCTCCCTCAGATTGAACCCTTTTGAATATTCTACTCTGTAAGTCAAAAATCACCCAAATACTTCTCTGCTGTATTGTATTGCTGTATTGTATTTGATGAATTAAAAAGTGTGTGACAAATGTTTATTAAATCCCACCTTTATTTGTGTTACTGTTCTTAAAAAGCCAAGGACAGTCACCTTGACAGCATTCGAGCATTGTTGGAAAATGTCCCTTCAATATTAGTTTCTAAGTGAATATTGCTGTTGCTGTGTGCATTTGTATGTAAATAAAGCTGTATAACATATACTGTATGTGTCTTTATCCATCTTGGAATAAAGGTGCAATTTTAAATAATTTCTAGTTGTCGATTAGAAAAGAAACATTTTATCGTGGAACATTTTTCTCATCTCTTTACCTAACACATCAGAGTTTTAAATAAACCTGTAAACCTGGGGAAAGAGAGGTCCACGTATGTAAGAGCGTTTGATGTTCTGCTACTAAACTCATTTATTTTTGCTTCATTCTTGCTTCTCACTCCCTTTAAAAAGCCTCCTGCAGCATCGCCTTTCATTTTCACTTGCTGCTGTTCCATGAAGTTGGAACAACACACAAAGAGAAAATATTCTGCACTTGCTGTTTTTTGTTTTTTTTTTCAATGGAATTCACCTACTGTTTGATATTATCCAGACTTTTTTGGAAGTGCGTGAAACTGACCAGGCTCTGCAAACAGATCAATAGCTGTTTTCATGCCAGAATTGTGCAGGGTAGATAAAATACAGTTGTTGGACAGGATCCAAGGAGGAGCTGTTGAACACAAATTTGTTGAGCGTGTACAAATGTTCATTAATACATGAAATCTGAGCAATATGGTGTAATTTACTAGTTATCAGGCTATATGTTTTTATAGGCCTTCCATGTGAAGCAGATGTGAACAGAACTTTAACCTCAATGTTTCAAATACAATGTTTTGAAAAAGTGTAATCACTGAAATAAGTGTTTTTCCCCTGCCAAAGTTGTACATTATATATGTTTTGAAAGGTTCAGGAAAAATCAATCGGTTGTTTGATTTAGCTCCCATGGTCAAAAGTGCAACTTCACTGTTGTGTGTCTGACTTACTCAAAGAGATAACAAGGATGTTTTAGTACAGTTGTTTGTCAAGGATAGGTGCCCCATCTTAGGTGTGATCGGATCACCGAGTATTGCTTTATCTTGTTAGGCTGAGTTTCTCTTTGTAACCAGGAAGCACCAGGTATCTTATACAGGAATTGTGGGATGCATACTCCTGTCCTTAGAAGCCAGCGACACTGAGTGACAGGCTGCTTTTGTTCAAATGCTTTTGTTGAAATGAAAGCCCTAATAAAACTGGTATCTCACTGCCAGAGGGAGTTCTACTTGCCTGGCTGCCAGTTTAATCAACTCCTGAGTCAACAATTTTATATCTCATTTATATACATTTATGTATTTCCCCAAATTTTTATTGTGTTTTGAGGTTGAGGCCTCAGAGTGAGGACAGTAGGTTTAGCTCTTTAGTGCTCTAGGATGTGACATCAGATATTTAGTAACTCTTCTACCTTAGCTGTTTTCTTCTCTTTTTTTGTCCAATGTTTATTTACCGTTTCTCTTGTCATCTGTTGTCATGTTCTTCATTTGTGACTGTCGAAAGATTTGTGTCACTCATCCTGATTTTTGTATTTTTCTTCTCTTCCCTACTCTCCTTTTGTCCCCTGTTTTCTCTCCATCCACCCTTCCTCCCATTGGCTCTCCCTCCCTCCCTGTCTCGCTTACTCTCTGTAGCCTGTAATGATCTGGTGGCCTCAGGAAGGGACAGGAAGCCCAATGCTTTGGTCCAGGTGGCTGTCATAGACCCCCACAAGCAGCACCTCGTCACTCACGCCTGCACAGAGATAGTCGAGGTAAGGCAACACACACAAACATGCACACACACGCGCACCATCCTCTGACTGACTCTCACTGACCTTTTGATGTTTGTTGTTTTGCTGTGTCTCTGGGTCACTGGGTCTTGGTTGGTGTTCTCTCCATCTCTGTCTGCCCTCCTTTTCCCTCAACCTTTTTTTCCCCTATCTGACTCACTGAACTGGAACAGACAATGAGCGCTAACTTTCTATTTCCTGTGACAGTTGAGTCCAGACATCTATGAGAGTTTGTGTGGCTCTCAACCAGAATCATCTCTCAGTATGTACAGTATGTGTTTGTGGATTTAATTGGTAAGGGGTTCTTCACAGTGAGAGTGTTTTTGTGTCCTTTTACCTCTTGAAATGCTGCTTTTATTATCTCCAGTGTGACAGTGCTATTCCTAAGCAACAGCCACACAAGTGTTTTTTGGGCGGCAACAGTTACCCCCTGTCCCACTATGGAACACCCACTTACACACATGTACATACACACACCCACACACGTTTTTTCTTTCCTCATATGAGGGCAAGTTTCCTTACACATTTAGAGGAGACACTTTTTTTTTCTAGCGAATCCAGTAAAGCTGAATTAGCATAACCGTGCCTTTCAAAGACTGCATTTCAACTGCTTTTCCCTTCAGTCCTGTCAAGGGAACAGCAGTGTGTGTGTGTGTGTGTGTGTGTGGAAACACAGGATGTGGTAGGATACTGTATGCTGGCTCAGCCAGCTCTGTAGACACTCTGAGTGCCGCTGGAGTTTTGATTTCATGCCTGTAATGTTCAGGATATGGGGTAGGATCTGAGGATATGGACTGCTTTCGACTTCACAAAAACAGGGTATGTGCACATTCTGTGTGATTTTACAAGTGTTTGCAACCTTATAAGAGGTGCTTAAGATAGTCTGGAGTTTTCTGTGCTATATATTTATTATATTAGTCTGCATAGTGGTATAACATCACTACTCTTGTGTGTCCCAGTATGTTTAGCAATGAACACAGAATTAGACACTAATGTTCATTATTATTTGTTATTTTGACTCAGAAGCAGCACAACATTGTAAAAATTCAATGTCACTTTGAAACCCTCTTTAATGAAATGTTTGTATGTTGTTAAGAGTAGCAGAGGTTACTTGTCAGGACAGTGGTAACCAGCAGGGTTTCCCACTTATACACTGTCATCCAACATGAACAGCAGATGTTCATTAACCTGTGTGGCCAAAGGAGGACCTGTGCGTGTGTGTTTGTGTATTTGTGTGTGTTGGGTAGCCCCACTGTGTGTAGTATGAATTTTAAGACAGCACAACTGCCACTTGTGTTTCTCCTGTTTGTCACATTCCTGGGATGTCTGCTCTTAACAGCTGCTGCCAGCTTTGCTGGACACTGATTGTGAGTGTTGGCTGCATGTATGCTTGAGTATTAGTCGTACTCCTGTGATAGGCGTATTATCAGGGATCCGTGGTATATGATATAAAGGTTTAATTTAGAAGATAAATGATTGAACACGCCAGCTGCTACACAGCCCTCTCTAGTTCTACCCATGAATCACCAAACATGAGTCAGGTAAAAAGAACTGGATGGCATTGAATCATGTTGGATCTGGACTTTACCGGTCATAGGTTTCAGTATTTCTTTTGTACAAGTTTCCCAAATAGAACACCATTAACATTAGTACATAGTTCATACTCAGTGGTATTGATACTGTGGACTAGGGAACTGAGACTCAGTGCCATATTTTCAAGAATAGGCAGACCCTTTTTATCTCCATAGAGAAAGTGTATGTCTCAGTGTAGGTACTGTGTCTTAATTTACTGTTGATAAAACAGAAAGAACCAGGGACAACTTAAGTACAAAATCTAAAGCCCGCTAAATCTCTTTAAAGTGCAATAGGAAACATGTTTGACAAATTGTATTTTGAGCTGCCAACAAAAAATAAATGCTATTTGGTACCTCTTATCAAGTGCTTGCTGAAAAGAGGTGACATCTGTTTTGTTTTTTTTCTTGAAAATTGTAAGTGCTTTGTTTTCCACATGTGCATGCTTTCTCAGTAAGTTTAGCATGACACAAGAGACAAGAAAGTGGGATGGAAAGAGTGACATTTTCTGCCAAACCCTAATATGTCTGTCTAGGGAAAAATCCCATTCCTAAAACATGGCCAATGGTTCCAGGAGTGGCGGTACTTGAGGGGATTTGACGTCACACAAATCCAGGGGATAAAACAGCCTTTGATGTCATGCTAGTCAAGCGAAGAACCCCCTGCCTGGAACAAGTCCAAAATGTCTAGTCTGTGTGTGTGTATGTGTAATTATGAGTGGTCAAGGGAGGGAGAAAAACTCAAGCCATAATACCCCCCCCAACTGAATCACACTCAAACACACACACACACACACCCTCTAATGGCCTAAATTGGCCGTTCCATGGAGGTTTGCAACCCAAACAGACAAAAAGACAAGAGAGGGGAGGGCCAGCTGTCTCCCATAGCATACGCTGACCACTTGTATGACAGACTGGCTTACTTCTCTGTGTAAATGGAGACAGGCTTACCACTTCAGCTCATCTCAGCCCATCAGAAGCACTAAGAAGATTCAGCCACAGCTGAGGCTGCCAAGCATGCTGGTAAGTCTGAATGAGGCCTATTCAGTGTGCCAGTGAGGGAGGCGCAAGGGGGTTATGTGTGTGTGTACCTGCACATTCTTGAGTATAATGGCTCTGCCTGTCTTTTTGTCAGTGTACACTACTGATATATACCCAGATTTACACTGAGCTCAAAGCAGTGCATTGGTTGCGCTGTGTGTGAATAGGTCTTGGTCTTTAGTATATTGGTGTACACAAACCACAAAGCTTCATGGCTGGGCGACAGAGTGGCACTGGGCACCAAGACAGGGTATTACCATGTCTTGAAGGGCTGAAACAAGAAGCGATAGACTTGTTTTATTTCTCCTCTGTCAGCGCATGGAAGATTTCTGAAGGATCAGTTGGTTAGTGGTGCGGTGAGGAGGTGGGTCTGTGTGTTCCCTCTGTGTGTGTGTGTGTGTGTGCGCGCGCGCATGCATGCGCGTGTGCAGTTGAACACATTATTCTGTCTTTTTGTGTGTGTAAGTATACTGCTGTATTTGGGGGAGCTTCATGCTTTGTCTTTCAATGCTCCAATATCCCTTATTGTAGCTGAGGGCCAGGACTAGTTCTGGTGTGTCAATCTTACCTGAGCTGCAGGTAAGCTGATTAGGCTTTTTTTTTTTTAGCACTTGTGTCTATAAATATCAGACTAACACAGGGTTCAGGCTTTTTGAGGCAATTATCAGCCATTGTGAAGGCTTCTTAGCTTAAGGGTTTGTAATCAATGAAAAATGGTAACACCTGCACAACAACTCAAAACCACACATTTATTTAAATAGAGTAATAAAGTAATACAGGGGGAAATATTAATTTTTAAACATTTTGACCTGACAGAGATCTAACCGGGATCAAAATGTCTATTTAAATAAATGTGTTGTTTGGAGTTGGTGTGCAGGCGTAAACTCTTTCCATCTGTGCTGATCCTGCGTAGCCTTGCACCAACACATTATGTGCATATGACTACACTCTCCCTTATGGTTAGAGACTGTGCAGTAAGTCAGTGTTATTTTTTTTCAATGTTCAGAGACATCATATTTTGATGGAATGACCCTGTGATCATTTAACATATATATATATTTATATATATATATATAGGAAAATAAACAAAATAATGGACTCATTCAGTCATTCATAACCTTCAAACTGCTGAGTAAAGTACTGTGTTTCAACTCAGCTCTTAACATGTAAAATTACATGGTATATTTTATATATATTTAAAAAACATACCATGATATTGTTTTCAGCCATACTCACCAGCCTGAGTTTCTTTTCTTTCTTTTTTTTACTCACGGGTGTGCCCATACATTCACACATGTCTGCCAGTCTGTCTGTGCAAGTCTCATTACCACTCCCCAGCCTGTCCCCACACAGTCCCAGAGGGGTTTCGTTCTAGAGACGCCCATCAGAGTGGAGCAGAGGAAGAGGAAACCCCCAGTGTAAACACAAAGTGCTTTGAATTGGTTCAAATAGACAACAGCAAATGGCTAAACAATCCTTGAGTGTTCCCAGGAAAGCCCCTTAGCTCCTGGTACAATCAAAGTCAAATTCCTTTATATTACAATTTATTGCAGAATGTAGATTGTTTAATTGTAGTTGAACACACGTGTCCAACTACAATTAAACATGCAGCAAATCTTGTCCAATCTCCGAGTGCTGCGATAGATGTGACATGAAATGAGTGAACAATTCTACTTTAATGGTTTGTAGAAAGACTGTTATCTTAAAACAAGTCTCTTACAACAAGTCTCCTGTGTTTCAACAGCACTGTTCTCAGAATGTTCTTGAAACAAGGGACATTTAAATAGAGAAACCTGCCTTATTTCACAATGCTTTCTTTCTCTTTTGAAGAAAATTCATCCAACCAGGTGAAACTGCACAAGTGACATATAGTTCCTCACTTTGCAGGCACTGCAGAGGCCTTAGAGAGGGTTTTAAATCTAAAGTAAATATACCCTTGTTAAGGTGAACATTTTACAGTGTTATGAAACGGAGATCTCTGCAGCCCCCCATGGCAAAACGAGCCCTTCAGCTCAAAAGGCATGGAAGTTAAAGGTGACGACTGGGTATTGTGATTACAGGGAGTTTGTGAGTGAATATTAGTTAATGTTATACAGCCCCTTGGTATGTTTGAAAACCCATTACTTCCTACTATAGCTGGTTTAATCCCATTGCCACAGTGCCACTGTGCCAGTTTACCTGTCAACATTTGTTACTCCTGGCCTGCAGTTTCAGCTGGGAGACTGTAGTTATGCCAGAGCTCCAGGTGGACCCACCAGGGAGAGCTCTATCTTCTCCTTTTCTGTGCCCAGGAGAGGCAGCAGGGGAGGCGAGGGGAGTGGGGAGAAATGCCGGGAGGAGTGGGACAGACTGAGCCCAGCTGTTGGCTCATTTACCCACCTACACCCCCTCACCTCCTTTTCTCCCTTTGGCTTCCTGCTTTTTTTCATGAACATGTGTGTTGCTGTATCAATGTGTATGAGGACACACACTCACACATGTGCATGCACACAAACACACATACACTATCTCAACCTTTTTCCGTGTTGTCCCTCTTTCTGACAGGCGAACAAAGACCCGCTATTTCTGACTGGGGTGACCTTCCCTTCAGAGCATCCTACTAGCCCAGAGACACTAGTCAAGCTAACTGTGTATGATGCAAAGGACAAGAGCCAGGAATCAGTGAGTAAATAGTTGTTGTTTTACTTTGTGTGTGTGTGTCCGTGCGTGCATTTGTTATATGTTTGCATGTTAAAAATCCAGCGCGTGAGCGAGCGATAATGATGAGAATGTGTTCAAAGCCAGTTGTGAAGCAGTCATCTTTCAAGTGTTGGCTGTGCAGCACTGCGCTTTAAACTTTACAGGGAATGAACATGAAAAGCTGTGAGAAATCTGCTACAGAATCTCATTATATTTAAATTTATCCTACAGATTCGGAGGTGCAAAGAGTTGTGTGCTGAATTATAGCAGGCAGTGAATTATGGCACTATCACAGTAATTATTCATTTGAGTCAGTCTCAGACCAAGACCTTTGCCTTGAGTTTTGAAGGAAAAGGGTGTGTAGCCTTCGATGAGCATCTGAGCATGGCAGCCTGTCCTTTGGCATTGATCCCCTGGGAAAACCAGCCGCTACATCACTGAGAATGGGAAAGAGAACCAGACATAGAATCCCGAATGGGCCAGGCCCTCTGATTCAGACTTTTTAAACAGACTTTACAGGAGACTCTTCTGTGTGGATCTATGCATGATCTTAATCAAGCACCTCACTCAACCCTGGGTGCCAAGATCTTAATTCGTCATAACTTACTATGAAACATTCATGAGCTTTATGATAAGCAAGGACTCCATTACAGGGCTCTACAGTGTTAGCATTTCACTCCCATATGAGTGAAAATTTGTGTGTTAGGGAACCAGACATTACGCTTAGAATTGATTTTCTTTCTGGATACTTGAATTTTTTATTTTTATTTTAGTATAAGGCTGCAACATAACAAAATGTGTGTGTGTGTGTGTGCCTATATATAACAAGCTAAAACTGACTGACTGTGTTACGGCAGCTTAGCATTATTTGGGACATTTTTTAAAACGGAGAAAGGTCTCATGCGCTTTGTGTCTGAGAGCAGCAGGCAGATAGTCACAATATTCAGATAGCAGCTTCTCATTTTTAGCCGATGCTGATGATCACTTTCACCGGTTAAAATGAAAATCACGGGTCACATCAGTTGTCGCAAACGTTAATTCCATGACTAACCTGATTCTGGATGCGGATTGGATGAAATGCTAAAAAAACTCAAACCTATTTCCAAAAGCTGTAGATGAATTACGAGACTCAATGCTGTTAGAAAAGGGATGCATTCATGAAGAGCAATGCATTGTTTTCCTTTTGTTAGGTGTATCAAGAGCATCTTATGTTTCAGATTTATTTCTCCCATTCAAGTTAGTTTGCATTTACCATAAACTCATGCATACTTTATATTTAATGTTCAAAATAGACATGCATTAATGTTATTTCTGCCAAAAATATCTGTGCCCCTAAAAAAATAAATGTGTAGAGTCCTGCATTATAGCCATAGTTAGTATAAATGTATTGCATTAAGACTTGATTTTGTGCCGGTATAAAACCAACAGTAGCATGGATGCTGTTGCAATGCCACTTCTGTTCGGCACATGTTATTGTGTACTTACAGTACGACTTTTAAGTAGTTTTGTTGCTTGAAACAAATCTAGTTGCAGTGGTTTGGATGTGCAAGTTGTTACTAATTTTAGCCTAAAACTGTGTGGTGTTTTTCCACAAACACGAACATACTATGCTCCCTATAAACTCTTAAACCTTTTCATGCATTTTGAGTTCAATGCACTGTACTTTGATGTGCACACATTCAAATATGTATGATATGAAACCTGGATATCAAAGTGCAAATTTAATGTGGTTAAAATGGCATTATTTGAATGACTTGATGGTTGTTGTTATGCACAGGTCAAATATTGTGACTATCTGCGTTCATTACTTTAATCTTCAGATCTCTCACCAAGCTTTACTAAAATATGTAGATGGGCCTCTGTGTTGTTGTACATACCAGACTGGTGTGCCACTCTGCACATAGTCCTTGTTTATACAGTGAATACAGGAAGCAGCCTCAGAATGTGTCCTGAGCTCCATCAAACATCTTGGGGCATTTTTTCTTGAAGCAGCTCCAAATACCAGTTCCTCTGGATAATTGAAATAATATTTTCATTTGTCAGTGGGATTATTATGGGGTGCTGTCAGTTTATGCAGTCACGTCAACAGCCAGACTATTACTTTTTCCTTCAGAATATGCAATATTGGCTATACAGTATGACTTATTTAATACAAGCTTTTAATTACGTGAGTGAAAAAACATACAGTATAAGCAATAGACCATAATACACATTTTACTGTCCTATGTTGTTGTAGCCCTACCTGTTCTATCCTCTAAGATAACCTTGCATACATTGTATGCAAAGGAATTTCTCTCTCCTGAGACATAAATTCAATTGAAATGCAGACTTCATCTGGTCCTGCATGCATAGTTGGTGTGCCATATTTTAAGAATTGGGACAGTGTACATTTGTGCCATGGCACTCTGCACCTCCTGGACACAATGTTCTCCTTGAAGAAGTTAGCCTGGGCTCCTGTTACCTGGTAAAAAAGCCAAAGATGTGAGCTGATTTAGGGCTAATACAAACTCCACCTGCTGATGATTTGTCCAGCTAGTAATGTATTCATCCTGCTCCAGCTTCCTCCCAGATTGTGTGATGCTGTGCCAGGATACCTTTGTTCTCTAAATTTGCAAAATTGGTTCTGAGTATGTTCCCCAAGTTTGCTTTTGTGCCTGTGCCCAGTTTCAACAAATTAAAAGCGTAAATGTTCAGATCGTTCATTAATTCTTTGAGACACATATTGTTGCAGTTTGAGAAACCCAGAAATATGCACTGTAAAAGCAATAGTTACTTTTACACTGCACAAATATAACAGTAGTTTACATTAACTTTTATTTTAATGTTATCATGTGACACATCATTTGTATTTCTGTGTATGTATGTATGTATAGTGTGTGTGTGTGTTTTTATATATATATATATATATACAAACACACACACACTATACAAATAAACATACTTTATGCATGCACATTTTATGTTGCAGCCTTATGCTAAAATTAAAAAAAACATTTTTTCCCCCTTCATTAATCTACATTCAATACCCTATAATGAAAAAATGAATGAAGAATCTTTTTTGCAAAATTATTAAAAAGGAAAAACTGAAATATCACTTTGACATACATATTCAGACCCCTTACTGTGACACTTGAAATTTAGAGCAAAAACTAAGCCACGAGGAGGAAGGAACTGCCAGCAGAGCTCAGAGACAGGACTGTGTCGAGGCACAGATCTGGGAGAAGGCTACAAAAAATTTCTGCTGTATTGAAGGTTGAGCTGGAAAGTGGTGTCAGACCTTTGGACCCCACTGTATATATATTTGCCTCTTAGAATTCAGCCTTGCCCATGTGAAATTTGCTTGGAGTGGAATTACATTGGCTTATTCCAAGGTATGTACTGAACACTGCTTATATTGTATTAACTCTCCATTCATTCCCTACCTCCTTCCTGGGACTATTTCTTGTGTTCTGAGGTGTGCTCTCATCAAATGTTTTACAAAACTGACCATGCGGACAGACAAGCTAGATGTCTGGATATAAAGATATTTTACTGATACCTGGTAAAAATGTTTACTATTTAAATTCAAGTTTATAAGAACAGCTTTGTTAAAAAAAAAAAAAAAACTGGCAATTTTTCCTAGGTAGGTGCTGTCCAGGAGTAATTTAATGTACTGGGTAAGATATTTCATTAACTCCTTTGGAATGTGGGGTATTGAATGTCTCTCTGTCTTACGTGCTGTCCCTCACACTGTCCCTCTGTGTGAGTGGGATTTCTCAGTCAAGAATATGACTATTACACAACACAATATTTCTCCCAAGCTCGGGTTTTAAGAACTTAAGGCCAAACCAACAGACTTACAGAACAGGTCCTGCTGAGCCATTCAAAGTCTACACCCATCTTCACACACCCCCCACTTCCTTCAAAGGAAAAGGTTTTGAATCATGAGCTGCATCACAACTTTGTGACCATTTCAAGAAAAAAAAAAAAGTTGGATCAGGATTTTTTTTTTTTTTTTTGTCAAAACCCATCTTCCTTTCTCTTAGTAGACCTCATGTAGTGTCCTAGCCGTACTTGAAGATTGTTGTTCCCTCTCTTTTTTTCTGGAACCAGTGCTCTCGTGCTGTGGTTGGCTTTCAGATTTTTCTGCTCTGCTGGGCACAGCGTGCTTGTCTGGGTCTCATTAGAGAGTCTTTAAGTGACACAGGCATGACCCTGAACATGAGCTGGCACAATGCGTCAGCCCCCAGCCACTGAAGTGACAGATCGGGAATCACTCAGCCAAGGCTCAGTCATTTAATTTTACTTTTTTTGAGCGAGACCAAGCATGGGCAGTTTGGTGTGTTTGTGTGTCTGTATGCGCTTTACAAATCAGCTGTCAAAAGTTTTAGATAGCCCTGAAAGGGATATGTAGCAGATGTTGTGCCACAAGCTGATTCTCTGCAATGGAAAGCAGATAGCACACATGATAACCACTAAACATCAATATATATAAAAACTTTGCAAATTTGCCACTTTATCTGATATGCCATGTTGTCTGTTCGCCGAGTTTTGGAGTGGAAATAAGAAGGGATGAAATTGAAACACTGAGGGGGAGGAAGCTGATGGAGCGAGGTTTATAGACGACTGCTTTAACATTTGTAGAGGACTGGAGAATTTCATAGTAGGATGATTTCCCTCTGCCGTGGGCTTCCCATTTAGATATTCTGAGATGACACTGGCTGCATGGTCATGAATATTTGAGAACATGCACGGAGCAGAGAGAACGATAAGTGACGGAGTGGAGGTGTGAGAAGGAGTACAACCGGGTTTGATATCTCTCAGGTGCAAGTGACCCCCCCCCCCAAAATCTCTAGTTGTCAAAGGATGACAGGCTAGCCTTTCTTTGTCACTGATGTCTTACCTTCAACTGCACTTTGAATGGCTCCCAGGGGCAATAAATTCCCTTTCAGCTCACATGCTGATCAGTGAAACTAGAAATATTCACAGTGGCTGAAAAGCTC